AAAAAAAAAACAATTATTTGAGAAAGAAAATAATATAATGGTAAAATAACCGAAGAAACAGGACAAACAGTTAACTGGACCCAAAATGGATCGAGAAATAATATAATAGTATATAAAACAGAAGAAAATGAAATTGTGATTGTTGGGACAGGGCGGTCAACGGTCAACCTTACCAAACAGAAAAGCTCTCCGTCCTTATCTCTCAAAAACTGCTGTCCATCATTCGTTCGTTCATTGTTTCTTCTTCCTCACAGCTCTACCCCAGGACCATTTCAATCTCAATCCCTCCATTGAATTCCTAAAATTTTTTTAAAAAAATTAAAAATTAAAAATTAGAGAAAAAAAACATAGTAAACAAATTGAACAGAAAACAATTTCTCCATCTCTTTTTTCAAACCTTGGTTTTGGGTTGCTAAGACCATTTTCTCTTGCAAACCATGGAGAACAACCTTCCTGAAAATTCTTCCAGCTTTAACAAACAGGACGCCAATGACAACAACTCCGATACACTCACCTCATTACCGGCAGAAGAGTCCCCCAAGATTGCAACAGAAGAAAAATCAGTCCATATAGAGAATCAAAAGGCTGATGAAGAAATTGAAAACACTGAAATCGAACCAGAAATCCAATACACCCTTGAAACAGCTCTACAAGATGTAGATCGTCTTTTACCAACTCTCTGCGCTCTGAAAGGTGACAATGAAAATGCCTCTCTTGACATCCCTGAATTTGTTGAGAAATTCTTGGATCTTGTGGAGGAATCAATCCTAAAACACGAGTCTGGAGAATCTAAACTTATATGGGGACAGGTTGATACAGCTGCTTTTCTTGATTCTGTGGACCGGATGTCAAAGCTGAATAACTCAATCGCCGAATTGAAATCCGATTTGAAGCACAGTCTTTTGATTAATCGCGTTTGCAGCATTCAACAGCGAGCAATGTCTTTCCTAGAGGATGAATTCAGGATCCTGCTGGAAGAATGCAGAACCGTAGTGCAAGCAGAACAGAGTGACGCAGCAAATTTAAAGGAGAAGCAACAGGGTGATGATGAAACGAATACTAAAAATTCAAATCTTCCAGGATACAGCTCTCCCCCAGAAATTATATCCACCTTGAACAGAATTGCCAAGGAGATGATCTCTGGTGGCTACGAATCGGAGTGTTGCCAAGTTTACATGATGGCAAGGAGGCATGTTTTTGATGAGACATTAAGCAAGCTTGGATATGAGAAGATGAGCTTCGATGACGTTCAGAAGATGCAATGGGAGGCTCTGGAAAGAGACATCCCAACGTGGATAAAGACCTTCAAGGAATGTGCCAACGTCCTCTTTTCTAACGAACACAAGCTCGCTCAGGAAATCTTCAACCATTATCCCTCAATTTCTGCCACCCTCTTCACCAATCTGACTCGCGGTGTGGTGATTCAATTCCTCAATTTCGCGGAAGCCGTTGCCATGACCAAACGCTCTGCCGAGAAATTGTTCAAATTCCTTGACATGTACGAATCACTTCGAGATAGTCTTTCCACCATAGAGACTTTGTTTCCCGAGCAATGCGCCAACGAGCTTAGGACCGAAACCACAACCACTCGTTGTCGTATGGGAGAGGCTGCCATATGCATATTCTGCGATCTGGAAAATTCCATCAAATCTGATACGGGGAAAACTCCTGTTCCTGGTGGCGCCGTTCATCCTCTGACTCGCTACATCATGAATTATCTAAAGTACGCTTGCGAGTATAAGGACACAGTAGAGATGGTATTCAAAGAGCATTCCAAAATTGAACGAGCTGACTCAACTAGCCGTCCGCGTACTTATGACGGCGCCGGACAGAGCTCCGTTAACCAAGAGGCGGTGGAAATGGAAAACCAGTCGCCATTTTCAAGCCAGTTGATGAGAGTGATGGATTTGCTGGACGCAAGTTTGGAGGCGAAATCGAGGCTGTACAGAGACATCTCCCTGAGCTGCATCTTCATGATGAACAACGGGCGTTACATCTTGCAAAAGATCAAAGGGTCTGCTGAGATCCACTGCGTCATGGGGGACACATGGTGCCGCAAGAAATCGTCAAATCTACGTAACTTCCATAAGGGTTACCAGAGAGAGACATGGACAAAGCTGTTGGGGTGTCTGAGCCACGAGGGACTTACCTCCCACGGGAAAGTGATGAAGCCGGTGCTCAAGGAGCGGTTCAAGAGCTTCAACACGATGTTCGATGAAATTCATAAGACGCAGAGCACCTGGGTGGTGAGTGACGAGCAATTGCAGTCTGAGCTTAGGGTTTCGATACAGGCGGTGATGATTCCGGCATACAGGTCATTCTTGGCCCGGTTCTCGCAAGTCTTGGATCCGGGGAGGCAGACGGAGAAGTACATAAAGTTCCAGCCTGAAGACATAGAGACTTACATTGAGGAGCTGTTTGATGGAAATCCAGTGTCAATGGCTAGGAGGAGGGTATAATTATTATCGACTCCATACATATATATAAACCATGATTACTATTTTTACTGTTTATATAATTATTAATTACGTATATA